GCACTCCAGTCTGGGTGACAGAGTGAGACTCCAACTCAAAAAAAAAAAAAAGGAAAGAAATTCTGTCCCTGCCCAGCATCCTGCTCACCCACAACGCCTCCCCAGAAGCCCTTCCCGATGTCATTCCAGGTTTGCATTCCTTCTCCAAGGAGGTTCTTGCCAACACTGACCACCAGTACCAGTGGTAGGAATATCTGGATCACAGTTCATTATTTGATTTTTGGAGTTTGGGTAATTAGGCCACCAAAAGATCCATTTTTTGTTATTAGGTTTTTTAAATTAGGCATTATTCAGGGGTTTTCTTTTTTGGGTCTGTTTTGTGCTGACAACTCAAAAGATAAAAGATTCTTTCTACATTGTTATAGAAATTGCGTGATTCTCAGATTGTGCTTCAAGACTAGAATTTCTGCAATTGAGTTTATTCTTCCTTTGAAAGCTTTCTACCGCTTTTGGACTCAAGCTTCTAAGGCCTTGATCCTGAACTCCTCACGTTCTTCACACTGTCCTGTGGTCTCAGTCACCTGAGATGTCAAGCGTTGCCTTTGAGGACCAGAATAAAAGTCCCAAACCCTTTGGCACACAAAGGGACCCTCCTTTCGCTAAAAGACACCCTAACTTTAAGTCCCAGCCATGGCAAGACGGGCTGCCGTTTGGGTCCCCTTCCCTTCCAGGTTTCCTCAAAAGCAAGCTTGAGAGAACAAAAGGCCGATGTCCCCTTGGGGACTTCATCCACCCACCTGGCGCCCACCTCCTGTCCTTGGTTCCCATGGGACAGCTGTTCGGATCCACAAGGAGTTTCTTCCTCATAAACCACTGCCAGCTGAGGACTGGTGGTGGCCGGCTACCGGAGAACGTGCAGAAAGTGGACTTGTGCCCTACGTGCCACCTTTTTCCACATGGGACCAATTATAATGCCCTTGAATCTTAAACCTCATCTCCACAGCGAGCATGGGTCCTGTTTCTAGGAGATGAAGACATGTAAACCTAATACACACGCATGTGGGTCTCTTTCACGAACTTTCATAAACTCCCCCTTTGTCCTGTGGAATATGAGTACCCTTTGCTCCATTTAACGTATATAGCTCCCTCTTCTCTCTCTCCCATGAAGCTGGGCTTGACTTTTTGGCGAGAGGCTCGCTTCCTGCCTGGAGGTGGTCACCCCTTAGAAATCAAGTTCTCCTTTTAAACGCACCCGCTGTATGACTCTTTTTCAGGCCACACCTCCAATGGAGCATTTCATCCCAGGTCAGCCACAGAAGCTCCTCAGCCAGCCGTGTGACCCAGCACTGCACGCCCAGGCCTGCAAGAATCCCCGAGGCCTGCATACTTTCACGGTCCTCAGCCCCAAGTTAGCCCCAAGACCCTGAGCATCTGTGACCTGGAAACAATCCTTGTGCCAATTTTTGTATCAGGCAGGATCACTTGTCACTAGAAATAGAATTCAGATCTGACTCGAGGCAGAAGACACACTTACTTATGAGTTAACGCTCAGAGTCCACAGCAAAACAGAGGAACCCAGGTTCAGAATTCTGCAGAAGCACAGTCAAAATCACACCCCCAAACCAGCTTTGTAAGCACACCGCAGCTGCCAACAGGGGGCACCAGAGGCTGCGGTGTAGACCCAGGACAAGCCCGTGAACTTGCACCCCGAGACCCTCGAGGCTGTTGCTGTCCCACGGCCTCTGGGGAGAGGGGAGTTGCAGCCACTGCCAAGACCACCAGAAGCGGTGGTCCACGGCGCCTGCCTCTTTATTCCCCTGACACCTGCCCCGATTTCCAGGACAGGAGCCTTGGCTGGCTGAGGCCAGTCTGTTCATGCACACCTGCTCATTTTAATGCAAGGGAGGCAGCCGAAGGAGGATCTGGCTACTTCTGCTTCCATGATGGAAGATCAGGTGTCCCCAAGCACAGAAGTTAGGGAGGGAGAGATGTGCGCATCCTCCAGACAGGGCTCTGGTGGGGTAGGGTGTGGGACAGTGGCAGGCCCCTCCCAGGTAGTTTCCCTAGGCCTGGGCCTGGGCCCGGGCCTGGGCCCTGGACACATTGAGAGCTTTTCCAGAAGGGAGGAACGAAATGTGGACTCACAACACCCAAATCTCCTCTGCTGTCCCGGGTGGCAGGTCATATTAGACTGAAGAATGACACACATCTTAGGAGTCTGCCTCCCAAAACACACACCCCCAGCCCACTGGCATCCTCCAACCCAAGGGATACACAAAGTTTCAAGTTTGTAGACACTGTGTGTGGACTCACTCCCAACCTCTGCCCACAATTGTGCAAGCTTTTTTACTCCCTGTCAGGGGAGGAGACCATTCTGCCATTCCCATTGGCTGATAGACTCACCTCCCCTTGGACGGGGCCCAGAACCCAGGGAAATAACTTTGTTTCCTGCCAGACCCTTCTAACCAGCCACTATGGTGAGAAGGACACTTGTCCTGCTGTCCCTGCTCCTCCTTCTGGGTCCTGCAGTTCCCCAGGAAACCCAAGGTGAGTAGGGAGCACAGAACATGGCCACCGCAGAGCACTGAAAGGAAGATGGAGAATGGGACAGACGGGCTGGGTAAAAGGCCCTGATGCAGCTCAAACTCCTGGGTGTACAGAGTAAATGGGTGTCCGAGGCTGTCAACTCACTCAGCTCACACACTTTTAGGAGCCTTCAGGAAGCCTCTGCACTCAAGCCAAACAAAACCTTCAAGCGTCTGAATCTAAAACCATAAGTTTGGAGATGAGAAAAAATCCCCAGAGAGGCAAAATGACCTGCCTAGGGTCCGTCAGACAGCCAGGATGGAGCAGGAACTACACACTGGAGCTGCTTCTGCTCTTGTACCTTCCCTCTTTCCAATGGCTGGAGCTACCTGGTTGACACTGAGGGAACGTGAGAGAACCCACGGGGGGAAATGGGAAGGCGGGTTCGCTGGAGGGATGGCACTAGAAGGAAACCCGTACTTTCACCTCCAGTAGACATGACTAGGAGTCTAGGAGGCCAGTGGCCAGCTGAGCAGACACCGGGGTCACAAGAATGTCCCAGAGAGGAGTCTGTTTAGGGCATAAGAATGCTCAGGGCGAAGATATGTAATCGAATAATTTCTCAACTGTGCAGGTTTGAAATTCATGTCATTTACAGATCATCAGAACAGATGTTCCACGTTAGGTTTATAACAGTCACATTTAGAACGTTGATCAGGGTGTCCACCAAAATCTGAACTAGTCAGGGTTTCAAGAGGATCAGAATGAATCGGATACACACACACACACACACACACACACACACACACACACACACACTGCATAAAAACATATGTCTAGAAAGAAATTTATTTATGTATACACATGAGAGAGAAAGAGGAGCTATATTTAATATTGGCTCACACAATTGTGTGAGCTAGCATGGCCTAAATCTGCAGGACAGGCCAGCAGGTTGGAGGTCCAGGGAAGAGTGGAGATTGCAGTCTGGAGTCGTCTGAAGGCAGTCTGGAGACAGAATTCTTTCTTCAACCTCTTCTCTTGAGATCTTCAACTGATTGGATAAGGCCCACCCACATTATGGGTCTATCAAAGTCTATCGATATAAAGGTTAATCACATTTAAAAATTCATGAGATAGAATAATTTCAGTACTTGGACTAGAAATCCACCATATACAGCCCAACATTATAAACACTCGTGTGAGTTATATCACAAATTAATTATGAAACTACTTATGGAAATGTCCCCCCTTCTCGCAGATCCTACCTTGTGCCAAAATGCAAGGTACAGCCCTGGGAATTCTGAGACCCATCCTAGTTTGACCCTGTGCTGATGCATTCTGGGATACTTCCTGAGTTTTCCAGTAAATGCCCTTCCTATACACTGGAACTATGTGTATTAGTCAGGTAAGACAACAAATGTTTATTTCTTCCTCAAGTTCAACACAGATTAGGCAACTTTCCTCTTCTCCACAGGGTGACTCAGGGCTCCAGCCTGTCTGCATCCTGGACTCTTCTGTTTCCTCTGGTCGCCTCTGCAGTCATAGCCTAAAGAGAGACAAAGGGGAAAAGTCAGCCGTAGGGCCTTCAACCAGAACAGAGACATTCCTTCCACTCACATTCCCTCTGCCAAAACTGTGTTTATGGTCCCAATATACCTACAAAGAACCTGAGAAATATTGTATGAGCTGAGAGAGGAAACAGTGTAGTGAAGACACAGAACGGTCTCTGAAATATCATCCCCACTATGGAAATAAATGCTTTTCCCTTGAATGAGCCTCCAGTGGGATGAGGCTGATAACAGGGCAGAGAGAGCTGGGGAGGAAGAGACCTGTGGCCATGTCTTTCCTGACCCTCAGCAGTCCCACAGTGGGACACCCTTGCCGGGCACCCACCCCTGTGTCTTCTCTTTTTCAGGTCATTACACTCTGACCTATCTCTACACTGGGATATCCAGGCCCAATGAAGGCCTCTTCAAGCTGCAGGGCACCGTCTTCCTCAACGACCAAGCCTTCTTCCGCTACGACAGTGAAGTTGGGAAGGCTGAGCCCCTGGGACCATGGAGACATGTGGAAGGAATGAAGGACTGGGGGAAGGAAACCCAGCTTCAGAAGGTCAGGCAGAACATCTTCCTGGAGACCCTGCAAGACATCATGAGTTATTACAACCACAGTAACGGTCAGTGAAAAACCGACTGCCGGGGTGGAGGGTCTTGCTCAAGGGACAGCCCTGCAGATGTGAGTGCCAAGGGGTCGGCAAGATGGAAACAGTCCCTATCCCAAAGGAGGGACATGGGGCACAAATAGAAGCACACAGAAATCTCCGCATTCCCCCCACCCCACAGCACAACTGCTTCCCCTTCCCTCTCACTTCCTTCAGGCTCACTCCCGGCCTGGCTCACACAGGAAGCGATGTCAGACGCCCTTCTTTTTTTTTTTTTGAGTTGGAGTCTCATTCTGTCGCCCAGACTGGAGTGCAGTGGCCGCTCCCAACCACCGCAGCCTCGACCTGCTGGGCTCCGGCGATCCCTCCGCCTCAGCCTTCCGAGTAGCCGGAACTACAGGCGCGCGCTACCACGCCTGGCTAATTTTTGATTTATTGTAGAGACGAGGTCTCGCCAAGTTGCCCAGGCAGGTCTCGAACCCATGGGCTCAGGCAATCCACTCACCTCGGCCTCCCAAAGCGCTGGATTATAGGCTGAGCCACCGAGCCCGGCTCAGAGCCCCTTCTTGCCCAGGCACCACTGACCTCTCGGTTGCCTGAGACTGATTCCCACTGAGAAGGTGTCAGACTCACTCACGTCCCGGGAGGTTGGTGGAGAGTGAGCTGCCCTTGGAGTCATCAGACCTGGGTCCACGTGGTGGCTCTTCCAGGCACTAACTGTTGACAGTGAGAAAGTTCCTAAATTATCTGGTCTAAATCAGCAAAGCTGGAGTATGGAGCCCTACCTCCAAGAGGCAAAATTCTTGTATGTCTATTCCATGAAGGATATAACGGTATGTCTTGGTCTCCCATGGAGCCCCATCACCTAGAACAAGGTTCAGCCAATATTTACTCAGTCGTAATGCGTCAAAAAAGTGGAGAAAAAGCACTCCGTCGCCCATGCTGGGAGTTCAGTAGGTGTTGGATTAAAAACCCACAGCCTAGCCAGGCTCGGTGGCCCAGCCTGTAATCCCGCGCCTTTGGGAGGCTGAGGTGAGTGGATTGCCTGAGCCCACGGGTTCGAGACCTGCCTGGGCAGCAAGACCTCATCTCTACAATAAATCAAAAAATCAGCTGGGCGTGGTAGCGCACGCCTGTAATTCCGGCTACTCGGAAGGCTGAGGAGGAAGGATCGCCGGAGCCCAGCAGGCAAGGCTGCGGTGGCTGGGAGCGGCCACTGCACTCCAGTCTGGGTGATAGAGTGAGACTCCAACTCAAAAAAAAAAAAAAAACCCACAGCCTGATAGAGTTCATGGACCCCTCCAATTAAGATTAACCTTAAGATTTTTTACCCTTCCTGTCCACCAGGAGCAGACACTCCTTACGTGTCATCCCACAGGTGGTGGCGCAGCTTGTGACAGAGCCCAAACCAGAGAGCCCACACAGAGACACAGGGGGTTCCTGTGTCCCCTCCCCCAGCCTAGCTCTCTTTCTCCTAAACCACGCTGCCTGCCTACCAGGCAGCCAATCTCAGGCCTGATGAATGGTTCGTGTTGAATTATTATTGTGTGGGTATGACAAGGTGAGCTTCTGAGTACAAAAATGCCCAAAAAGCTACATGGAATCTGAAAGTTTCCAAGAGATATGGAGAAATCTGAAGGATGTCAAATCAGAAGTCTTGAAAAGGAAAATGGCCTGAGTTGTATGTCAGCAATAGGAGAGAGTTGGTGTCCAGAAAGACCCTGGGAAAATCTTTAACTGGAAGAGAAATGGCAAAGTGAATAATTAGATGCAAAGATAACGAAGCAATGAATACGGGGTGTCAGAAAATAATAACAGCCAGCGTTTATTGGGTATTTCCTGTGTGCCAGGCTCATCTGCTAACATAGTTAATGCTCACGACAGCCCTCTAATATAGTGCTGTTGCCATGGCCATTTCAGAGATGAGAAAAGAAGATCACAGGAGTTTACTGGTTCAAGTTCTTTAACAGACCGTACCGGGTGGGGAGAAATCTTGACCTGGAGCCTCCAGATAGCTCGAGGTATACCCGCACCTGTGCCAACAGCACAAGTTGGGTAAACATCTGCTTTTACAATGAAAATGGAGAAATGGGGCTTCCTCTTGCCCTGAGGAGGTCAATTTCGGAGAGATGCTTCGAAGAAGCAAGACAGTTGGGGCCTCAGAGGTTTGGAACAAAGGTATCAATCCCCAGAGAAGAGGGCAGAAGTGATCGAATTAAGTTTACCCAAATGACGATATGAGCTCCACTTAGAACTGAGAGAACAGGGGAGGGTACCATTATCTAGGTGAAACCACAAATAATTTCTACTGGATTCCAAAATGCACTTTGGTGAGCTTGTGACAGGTTCCAAAGCACTTGCCGTAAATCCAAGCAAAGAGCTTCGTTAGATAAGTGCTGCAAAAGAGAGAAATGTATCCATAGTCTGAGCTCTCTTAAACTCCCTAGCTGAGAAGAACATGCCTCGTCTCAGACAAGGCTGAAACGCCACACCCAACAGCGTCTGCCCCCTCTGTCTCCTGTGAGTTTAGATAGTAACCTATTTGCCATGATAAAGGGATAGCATCCTTAGATTGCAGACACCTCTCTTCCTCTGGGGTTGCAAAGTGCCTAGGACCCAGAGCGAGTCGAGTGGGATCGGCACCAGACTGACGTGGCTCCCTGTGGGTCTGGGGGGAGGTTTCAGGGTCTCACACCTTGCAGGAAAGATTGGGTTGTTGGCTGCAGAATAACAGAAGCCGTGGAGCATTCTGGAAGACCGCCTATGATGGAAAAGACTTCACTGAATTCAACAAAGAGATCCCAGCCTGGATCCCCTTAGACGCCGCAGCCCAGAACACCAAGAAGTAGGAGACAGAAGCAGTCTATCTGCAGCAGGCCAAGAGCTACCTGGAGGAGGAGTGTCCTGGAACTCTGCAGGGGTTCCTGAACTACAGCAGGAATCTCCTGGACCAGCAAGGTAGGCGTTGCTTTCTGCTCCCCAGCACTGAGCCTAGAAAGACCAAGACGGTCCTCGGACCAGGGGCTCAGGGAGCATCTCCGGCTGTTCCTGTCCATCCCTGGGATTTCCTCAGACCCAGGTTTTCACCTCCTAGGAGTCAAGCCTTCCCTGGGAGGACAGGATGTGGGGTCCTCAAAGAATGTTCATCAAAGTTTCAGGCAGGGTAGGCCAGAAAAGCCATTGGCTCAATGGTGGGCTTCCCTAAATACCACAGTTTACAGATGAGGAAACATGGGGGTAACTGAGGGAAGCTGGGGTTAGGTTGACACTGTCCACAAAAGGCAGAGCTGGGACACAAATTCCATATTTCAGATTCCAAATCCCACAGTCACTTCTCTCTGTGATGAGCCCTCCTATCCTGTTTGTTGAGAGACGGCAGGTGTGTACAATGTCTGGCCCGGAAAGTCAAAAATGAGCCGGTGTGCACAGAACGGGTGTCCACAAACTGAGAATTTGGTTTGAGCCGTCATAACCAAGAGGATTCTGCAGTGGCACAGGAAAGAGTTTGCTGGACAGAGCCACAGGCAGAGCCAAGGCGCTGGGCTGAGACGGGGAGGAGGGAGCTGCAAAGCCCCTGAGAGATGGGAAGACAGGGAAATGTGTGGGACACGCACAACTTGTGGCCAATGGAAGGCGAGACATGGCAGGGTGTTGAGGCCGGAAGGAGAGGAGCCGTGGGCATTCCATGACCCAACAGGGAAGGCTCAGGGGACGCCTCAGCCTTCCCTGATCTTGGCTAAAGCTTCCTGGGGGAGGCAGGGAAGGAGCTTAGAGCCCTGCTGATCATCAGCATCCACGGGGTGGGAAGAGACATGGGCCGGGAGAGGTGGCTCTCAAGCCCTCAGTCTCACACTCTTGCCCTCTATGTCCTCACCAGATCCTCCCTCTGTGTCAGTCACCAGCCGTGAGGCCCCAGGAGGGAACAAAATGCTCAAGTGCATGGCCTATGACTTCTACCCCCGAGAAGTGCGTCTGTCCTGGACTTGGGCTGGTGGGGTGCTGGACCCTCAGTCGGGAGGAGACATCCTTCCCAGCGGAAACGGCACTTACCAGTCGTGGGTGGTGGTGGAGGTCACCCCTGAGGACAGAGGTCCCTACGTCTGCCACCTGGAGCACAGTGCCCTGACCCGGCCCCTCACGGTGCCCTGGGATGACAGGGAGGAGACAAAGGCCTGAGGCAGTCGGGGTCTCGGTCCTAGCCGCCGCCCTTCCTGCCTTACAAGAGAGTCTGACCTCAGAAATCGCAGTAAATCCACAGGGGCAGGTCAGGGGTGGATTTGGAAACAGAAGACTCAAATGGCAGAACTAAGCTGACTCTCACTGACAAATCAACTCACCTTGAAAACTCCCTACTTGTCTAATCTGTAGCACCTAATAAACAATCATCTCCTTGCCAAGCAAAATTGAAAAAGGTATTTTTATCTGTAAAATGCTGTTAGTCTGTGGCTTGATCTTGTCATTGGTGGTCTTCCAAGCACTGGAAGACAATGTTGGCCTTGGGTACACACATAGCCAGAGCTCATTTGAAAACCTTCATTCCTCCAGGACACAAGTGAAGGAAGCAGGGATTGGCCCTGAGATTCTTAGACTCTCTTTAAATTCCTTGAGTGTGTTTGTTCAACTGAGTCACCAACTGCTATGCACAGGTGTCAACTCCAAAAGACAGAACAGTCTCGCCTCTCACTTTTCTATGAAGTTTCACCAGCCTGTGACTCTGATTTTCCTTCCTGGGGACAAGACCATCCTTCACACCCTGTCTTCGGTCTCCCTCTCTGCATTACTCCAAATCAGCCCTCCAAGCTGAGTTCCTGAAGGAAATCATTCCTAGTCTTCAGGTTTCTGAGTCAACCATTTGACCTCTCTTAAAAGCCCAAATTTGAATGCTCCACTCTTTTCACATTAATGCTCTGGCTCCAATTTGGAAATCAAAGTTGAGTTTTTAGTCTATGTGAAATCCACATCAGTCTACTGAATCCACTTTAGTCGACTAAATCCACTTTAGTTGACCTGAAATCCGCATTCC